GCTTCACACTCGCAGAGAACCAGCAGCCTCCTGGGTGCTGGGATTAAAGGTGTGGCCCAGCACACACAGCACAACATTTGAATCCTGATGCTGTCTCTACAAGGACTGATTGACTGTAGATTCACGTCTCAGTCTCAGTTGTTTCCTGTTACTCTGCTTTGGTCTTTGGATTCAATGCCCTACCTCAGGGTCCATTTTTAATTTCTCTTAATGTCATTGCATCTTCAAACCTCTCATCCGTTATCCACACATATTCCTGTCACAGGAACTCTGTAATTCCTTTCCTTTAAAAATTACTTAAAAATAACTAATTTACTTTTATTTCATGTGTACTCATGTTTTGTCTGTGCATACATCTGTGTGAAGGTGTCAGATCCCTGAAACTGGAGTCAGAGGCCTTTCCCCAGCCCTGTAATTCATTTTCATGATAAGGTTATTCATTACATAATTACTAATATGTGATTTCTGTTTTCAATGTACTGAGAAATACTTGTGTGATTTCTCTAAAATTCATAATTACTGCAGAAAAGGGAAAATTTTCCACAAAATGAGCTATGACTTTCAGTGTTGTTTATCACCCGCATCCTGTGTGTCTGATAGAGACAGATCTGTATTTGTGGTGATTGTGCTATGAGAGTTACCTATCTTAAAGATATGAATGGTCTCAAGACCAGGGATACTGGAACATGCCTTTAACCACAGCACTCAGGAGGTAAAGGCAGGCCAGTATGTGGCCAGTCTGATCTACATCATCTGGACAGCCAGGGATACTTGGGGAGACCCTGTTGTGTGTGTGTGTGTGTGTGTGTGTGTGTGTGTGTGTGTGTGTTATATAAATGGTCTCAATCAGACCACTTAAATGCTATTTCTCTCATGTCTGTTAGTTTTGTCTTCTTGAAATATTCCATTGTATGTTTTTGCTTTGTAATTTTCTAAGTTTGATATTCTGTATAGAGTTACATGTCATAGTATTTCTGTATCTGTTAAATTTTTAAAAATGCCATACATCAGGGCTTTCATGGGAGGTTTATTGGAAGAGGAGAGAGAAGGGGCAGAAAAGGGGACAGAGAAGGGTTCAGAGAGTGGTCTCAGGGGTCAAAAGGAGCAGAAGAGAGAGAGGGAGAGAAAGAGACAGGAGGTGGGCAAGACCCACCGTTTAAAGGGAACATAGCAAATGTATACAGGGGTGCTCTAGTAGCTGCAGCTGAGGACATTTCCTTCAGGACCCCTAGGGTAGGCCACTACAGATGCCTGAGTTCTAACAGTGAAAGACCCCGGAGCAGGGTGACTCTCACTCAAGTCTCAGGATAACTCGACCCCCCCCCCCAGGAACTCATGAGAGACCATCCTTGCTGCAATCGCACGAGGTTTATTGACAGGACCGGAACTAGTGCACTGGGGCCGAAACTCATTTGCCACGCAGGGGTAGAATTTGACCCCGAGAATTTGGAAGAAGGGGTATTTAAGGGAAGAAACCATAAGCCTATAAACCAAAAGGAGTAGGTGGCATCATTGAAAAATTCCAAAAATACTAATGTTAATCACAGGGGGGTAACTGCCTGTTCCTCAAGATTATAATCTAACTCTATGGTCAGCTAGTTCCTAAAACAGACTCAATGAAACAGCTAACCTAGATTTTTGGTTCTTCTCTTTCTGCTATATTTTTGGCTCTACTCTTTCTGCTAGAGGGGTCTTGATTTATCTGGGTCTTTGAACTGTCCCCAAATTTAAATTTGCTATAATTAAAGATGCGGAAATGCAAGGAATGCTGAGAATGGAATGAATAGTCTTCCCAGTGAAGAGCACAGCAATTGGTTGTCCAATACCAAATGGTCCACCCTGAAAACAAAAATGCAAGTAACATTCTACAGACTGAGCAGGTCGTATGTATGCACTTAGGAATTCCACACATTGTAGGGCCATCTTATACAGGCCCATATTTTTATAATGTATGGCCGCCAAATTTTTAGGCCACAGATTGCACCTGGCCACACAGGAGGTGGTCACCTTGCCACCATCCTGAACAAACTGAAGCCATCCTAAACATTGCCAGGACATGCTAATGTTGTTCTTCTCCTTCTTTGTAATTTTGGAAGATCACCTTGAAAGAAGCAATCCTTGGCTACCTAGGAAACAGAATGCGAATGAACTTTTTCCTCAGTTTACATTTTTGGTATAAAAGCTGTTTGGAGAATAAACGTGGGTGAATTTTCAGGATGTGAACTCAGGATTTCATGAGGGACCCCTGAAAACTCCTCCCGATAAAATAATGTAGTTGTGTCTTTATTTTGATGCCTCCAAGCTGGTCCAGAGAAATAATTTATGGTCCAGGATGGTCCCAGACACAATACAAACATTATATGAATGTACATGACAACAACTAAAGAAAAGAGGCCATGAATTTGAATGAGAGAAAGAGAGAGGACACATGGGAGGATAAGGAGGGGGGAAAGAGAAGGTGAATTGATGCAATTACCTTATAATCTGAAAAGAAAAGTATATATATTTAACTTTAATAAGAGGATAAATAATACAATTTGAATGTCAAAAGACTTGGGATTGCTTAAGAAAGCAATTGTCTTCCCTTATCAGTATCCTTGTGTGGCATTATTTATATAAGATGACATATTTCTGTTGGTTAGTTGAAAAACATTTTACTACTATTTTTATCCATCTTCTGAAATGTTCATCCATTTATACAATATGTTTGAATGATTTACACCCATCACAACCTCCTACCCACTCCCTTTGTGACCCCCAAGTCATTCCATTTACTTATTTATTTGTTGATTTGTGTATGTGTTTAATCAAGGCAGGGTTTCTCTGTGTAGTCCTGACAGTTCCAGAATTCACTCTGTAGACCAGGGTGGCTTCAAACTCAGAGATCTGTCTGCCTCTGCGCCTGCCTTCCAAATACTGAGATTAAAGACATGTGCTACCACTTCTTGGCCATTTCTTTCATTTTACGTCCAGATGTTTTGCTTGCATGTATATCTGCAACCGTGTGTGCAGTCCCTGAGAGGCCAAATCCCCTTGAACTGGAGTTACAGATGGTTATTTGCAGCTATGTGGGTGCTGCAAACGGAACCCAAGTTATCTTAACCACTGAGCCAACATCTCCCCAGCTCCTTTTTCCATCTAAACTGTCTACATGTTCATTAACATCTAATCTCATACAGCATATGCAATGTAGTAAAGAGCAAATATCTAATGTTCCCCTGAGGACTGGAGTTATGTGCTCATCAGCGTTTACACAATGTAATTGTACCTAACAATGACCTCTGACCTGTTTGCATTTTTGTTAAATCATATAATATAATGCATATAACAACAGGTAGCTGGAATGTCATGTTTGAGTGATGATGTATGCTACATTTGAAATCTGATAGAAAAATCATACGTTTATGGTATGGGATTCCCCTCTGTATGCTGTGATTACCATAAATGAATAAAGGCAACTGGCTTGGCCTGATAGGGTAGAACAGAGCTAGGCGGGGGAGACAGAACTGAATGCTTGGGAGAAAAGAGGGCAGAGTGAAAGAGAAGCCATGTAGCTGGAGCCAGACGAATCTTTCGCCAATAAGGCACAGCCATGTGACAATACACAGATTAATAGAAATGGCTTAAATTATATAAGAGTTAGTCAATAAGAAGTTAGAGCTAATGGGCCAAGCAGTGATTTGATTAATACAGTTTCTGTGTGATTATTTCAGGGAGAAGCAGCCGGGAACAAACAAGCACCTTCCTTGCTACACTTTTAGTCTCTTTGGTCCAATTTTATTTTGTTATTGTTGTTAATTTATTGAGCCTTTATGAAGGCTTATTGACAAATACCACATTTGCACATTTTATTTTGACATTTACACACATCCACAAACGTGACTTTCATTATACTCTCCCATGGCTTACATCTGTATCACTCTCCAACCTCCATTGCTTACACATGGCTAAGAGTCTCCCATTGGGTCTGTAAGTTTCTCTACCAGATTCCACATGTGAGCACATATATGGTGTTTACCTGTGTGAGACTGCCTTATTTCACATAACACGATGACCTGCAGTTCTGTTCATTTCCTGGCAAATAATAGAAATGGTAACAGAAAATATATTTCTCTGAGAATGTGGTCAACACTGGGGCACGTATAGTAGCAACTGTCCCTTTGTGTTCTGCAGCTCTTCACAGGGACCGAGCTCCTAAACTGCTTCAGAAACTTGCTAGTGACAGAGGACTGGACTCAGAGACAAAACCCAAGTGGAGAATCTACTTTTGGGGAAAATTGTTTTTATTCTTTTCTTTTACGTGTACAAGTGTTTTACCTGCATGTATGTTTGTGTGGTATGTGCATGTCTGGTGCCCACAGAGGCCAGAAGAAGGTATCAGATTCTCTAAAATTGGAGTTAGAAACAGTAGTGAGCCCCAAAGTGAATGCAAGGAATCAAACTCGGGTCCTCTAGAAGAGCCACTAGTGCTCTTAACTGCTGAGCCAACTCTACAGCCCCTTTACTGAGAATTTAAAGATAAATACCCTGGGAGAGTGTTGCATACAATCGAAACTCTAAAGATATTTAAATACTCATGTTACTGTCTCTGTTTTACACAGTTTTTGTGAAAGATCAGACCTTTCAAACAGGAATTTTTAAATACTCAAGATGAGCTACTGAATAAAATCTCTACGACATGCAAATTTGCGTTTCCGCTTATTAACAGATCCTGCCACTTAATATAACAGCACACAGAAGATTTTTGCATTAAGCACACCTGCTTCAACACCTTCTGTCCTCTGATGTTCTCAAGACTCCCTGGAATGTAGTTCCAGGAGGCACCAAGTCTGGACCTGAGAAACAAAGGAGTTTGACATTTCTCCCACCTTCTCTCCTCCTGAAGTGTCAATCACTATATTTCCCCACAAACATCAGGATGTAATTAGTCATAATTGAACCCACTTAGATTTCAGTGAAGGCCTGACAAGCCTAATAATATCTAAAACATCACTGAGGTGATGTCTCCAAGCAACGCCATCTTGCGGGGGTTCCTCGTATCCCAGCTCTGTGTGGGTGTCATAGGGAACTCACTGATCTTCATGCTGTATGTGTACAGCTTCTTAGTCAGATCCCGCTTTAGCAGACCTATCGATCCCATTGTCATGCACCTGGTGCTTGTCAACATGTTGACAGTCATATTTGCTATGATATCATATATCATGTCATCCTTTGGAGTCAGACACTTTCTGGATGATGCCAGCTGTAAGGCAGTTTTATATGTGTTCAGAGTCACCCGGGGTTTGTCCATCTGCAATACCTCCATTCTAAGCACGTTCCAAGCCATCACCATCATTCCCAGTAACTCTAAGTGGGCATGGATTAAGCCTAAACTCTCTACATGGACTTGTTGCTCCTTCCTGTTTGCCTGGCTCATCAACCTGCTCATATATGTGCACGTCATTGAGACTGTGGTAGCTAAAATCAATTACACTGATGTTGGTGATGGATATTATCATGTTTACTGTAAAATAGGACTAACCGATCTCCGCAATAAAGAATTATTCCTGGGTGTTATCATAACAAGAGATCAATACTGAGAGTTACTTGTTTTCAAAGAGCATTTGGTGGATGATATGAAGGCCAGATGTCCTCCTCAACAAACAAATCTCTCTAATGATGTATGTGATAAGGTGAAAGCTGTGTGGCTCTTGAATCCTTGATATGGTCCATGTTAGAATTCACAAAAGTTGTACATTTACCAATTTTAAATTTTTAATATTATGTCTCAATAAAAAGTATGTCCATAACATTTCAATAATTACATATTTATTGTCCATTTAATATAATACTTTGGAGTTTTGAAAAAAAGGTGGTCATGGGGGCTGGAGAGATGGCTCAGAGGTTAAGAGCATTGCCTGCTCTTCCAAAGGTCCTGAGTTCAATTCCCAGCAACCACATGGTGGCTCATAACCATCTGTAGTGAGGTCTGGTGCTCTCTTCTGGCCTGCAGGCATACACACAGAAAGAATGTTGTATACATAATAAATAAATACTTAAAAAAAAGAAAAAAAGGTGGTCATGTTAAACTTTATGTGACACCCACATACATTTTACACATGATCCTACACACATACAAAGACAGACAGGCAGACAGACAGACAGACAGAGAGATAGACGTTTCAACATGTGGTTTTTTATTTTGATATTTTGACCAGGCTAAGCTCAGTAAATCTGGCTGAAGAAAGGGAGAGAGAATTGTAGGAACCAGAGGCGTCAAGGACATCACAAGAAAGCCTACAAAATCAATTAACCTGGGCTCGTGACGCTTGCAGAGTTTGAATCAACAACCAGGGACCTGCTTAGACTGATGTAGGCCATCTGCATGTCTCTGACACTGTGTAGCTTGGTCTTCTCATGGAATTCCTAACAGTGAGAGCAGGGGCTGTCTCTGACTCTTTTGCTGACTTTTGGGACCTTATTTCTCATACTGGGTTGCCTTACACAGTTTTAATACACAGGGAGGTGCTTAGTCTTAATGCAAATTGATATACCCTGTTTTGTTGATGTCCATGGGAGGCTAGCTCTTTTCTGAACAGAAATGAAGGAGGAGTGGATGGGGTCAGAGTGGGTCAGGGAGTGAGATGAGAAGAGAAAGGAAAAACTGTAGCCAGGATATAAAAATAAGTAATTATTATATAGCCACTTTGGACATCAATATGGCAGTGTCTCAGAAAATTGGGAATCGATACGCCTCAAGACCCAATTATACCACTTTTGGGCATATAACCAAGGATGCTTGATTATATCACATGGACACTTGCTAAACTATATTCGTATCCACTTTATTCGTAATAGCCAGAACCTGGAAACAACCTAGATGACCCTCACAGAAACATGGATGATGAGAAAATGGTACAATTAAAAATAGAGTATTACTCAGTTGCTAAAAAACAATGACGTCAGGGCTGGAGAGGTGACTCAGAGGTGAAGGGCATTGCCTGCTCTTCCAAAGGTCCTGAGTTCAATTCCCAGCAACCACATGATGGCTCAAAACCATCTGTAATGAGGTCTGGTGCCCTCTTCTGGCCTTCAGGCATACATGTAGACAGAATATTGTATACATAATAAATAAATAAATAAATAATTTCAAAAAAACAAAATAGCATATTACTCAGTTGTTAAAAACAATGACATCAGGGCTGAACAGGTGGCTCAGAGGTTAAGGGCACTAACTGCTCTTCCAGATGTCCTGAGTTCAATTTCCAGAAACCACATGGTGGCTCACAACCATCTGTAATGAGATCTGATGCCCTCTACTGGCCTATAGGATATATGTAGGCAGAATACCGTATACATAATAAATAACTAACTAAATCTTTAAAAAAAAATGACATCAGGAAATTTGAAGATCAATGGTTGGAACCAGAACAATAATCATCCTGCGTGAGGTATCCCAGACCCAGAAAGACAAACATGGTATGTAGTCACTTATAAGTGAATATTCTCTGTAAAGAAAGGATATCTGTGCAACAATCCACAGATCCAGAGAGGCTATTTAACAAGGGAGGCCCAAGGGGGCTGCATGAAATTTGCTGGTCAGGGGAAATAGAAGAAATCTCATGGGTGGTCTGGGGGCAGGTAGAGATGAGAACATGCAGGATCCGTTTGGTGGGAGGATGAAGGGGGAGAGTACTGAAAGAGATGACTGGTAGGTGGAGGGATGTAGTACAAATTCTAATTGGTCTTAATAATAAAAACCCAGAGTCAGATATTAGGGGGTGAAAGCTGAAAGATCAGAGAAGCAGAGCAGCCAGCCAAGAGAGTTCTTACCTCTATGAAATCCTCAGACCAAAAAGGGCTGAGCTCCTGTCTCCTCCTGCCTTTTATTCCTCTCTCTCCACCTCCCCTGAGCTGGAAACAAAGTTACATGCCACCACTGCCTGACCTTTATGGTTCACTATGGTTAGCTCTGCCCTCTGATCTTCAGGCAAGCTTTATTTGTTAGAGCACAAACAAAATATCACCACAGAGGGACATTTCAGGGTCAGGTAGAAACCTACTGGAAGAGAAACTCCCAGGAATCTACAAAGATGACCCTAGGTAAGCCTCCGAGCAATGGTGAATGTGGAGCCTGAACTGGCCATCTCCTGTGACCAGGTGGGACTTCTAATGGAGGGATTGGGACCACGGCCAGTCTCACAAACTTTGACCTACAGTCTGCCCTGCCTATGGGATGTGTGGGGCAGGGAGGAGGGGATTGCAGAAGTGGCCAATTAATATCTGGTCCAGCCTCAGACCCGTATCACAAGGATGAACCCTGACACTGCCTGAAGTGCAAAGGACCCAGAGACTGGATGTCCCAAAGACCTAGGAGAGAACCAAACACAACTGAAGAGAAAAAAGTCAATATAAAAACGCCTAATGATATTCTGCTGTACGCGTAGACTGATGACCCTCCCAATTGTCTTCAGAGAGTCTTCATCCAGTAATTGATGGAAACAGATGCAGAGACCCAATGCCACACATTGGATGGTGCTTAGGCAATACTACTGCAGAGGAGGAAGAATTATACAAGTCAAGGAGATCAAGGACATGACAAGGGAACACACAGCAAGAACTAACCAGGGCTCATAGAAGCTCACCGAGTATGGATCTACAGCTAGGGGGCCTGCATGTGTGTGACATATGCTAAGCCCTCCACATATGTGTGACTGTTGTATAGATTGGTATACATATGGAAATCTTAGTAGTGGAAGCAGGGACTGCCTCAAATGCTTTGCCTGGCTTTTGGTACCCTGTTCCTCATACTGGATTTCCCTGACCAGTCTTATGATGTAGGAGGGTTTTCTGTTTTGTGTTGATTTTATTGGTTAAAAAAGAAACTGTCTTGGCCATTTGATAGGCCAGCCTTTAGGTGAGTGGAGTAGACAGAACAGAATGTTGGGAGAAAGAAGCAGAGTTAGTCAGATGCCATGGAGCCAGTTGCCAGGTCAAACATGCTGAATCTTTCCCGGTAAGCCACCACCTCGTGCTGCTACACAGATTATTAGAAATGGGTTAATCAAGATGTGGGAATTAGCCAATAAGAGGCTATCACTAATGGGCCAGGCAGTGTTTAAGTGAATACAATTTGTGTGTTGTTATTTCGGGTGTAAAGCTAACCATGCAGGAGCCGGGCAGGACGAAAAGCAGGCCTGCCTGCAGCTCCTTCTACAAATTGTGCCCAATGTGGGGCTCGAACCCACGACCCTGAGATTAAGAGTCTCATGCTCTTGCCTCTTACTATAAATGGCACCCAGATGTGGATAACTGAATCTACAGAAAGCCTGAGAAAGCTTGGGAAATAATAGAGTAAAGCATGGCTTCTTGGTAGCAGCAATTTCTCGGGTCTGCTCTGCTTGCCAGAGGCAAGCAAGTGCTCTCATCTAAGAGAGGCTTCCTGACTCAGCTTTAGCTGCAAAACCCTGTTGCTCTTAAGAGGTCCTGCTACGAAACACTTAAATGGTGTTGATAAAAGGTGACTGCTTGCTTTCTGTTTTCAGCAGTATAGGAAAAAGTTGTGCTGTTTTAAAATGCTGGCATTCTGTTCCGTCCTACCAGGGCAAACTCTGACTCTTTCAGGCAGGCAGTATGACTGAGTGTGGTCTGTGAGCAGAATGCTGCAGCTTGCTTGCTTGCAGGCACCTTGAAACACTATAGTGTGGTGGCAATGACATGGATCTGGCCGGTACCTCAGCCACAAGGCTGGAATCACAGAAAGCTAAGGAATGGGATGGATCTAGCCGTCAAAGCCACGGCTTCAATCCTGCCCATATTGCTTAGTTAATTAAAGGCTCGTGTGGTTAGAAAAAAAGAGAGATATACAGTAAAGATGAAGAAAAACTCTAAATGGTTTACAGTATGTGAAAAATATATATATGCTGGCTTGGGAGAGAAAATAAAAAGGTTAGAAGAACAGTTTTAAGCTCCTACACTAAGGCTACCCACCCAGAGCGATGAGTGCCTGCCTATCAGGCAGGCCTCAAGGTCCCTTGTAAGGTCCGGGCACCTTCAGCTAGTGCACCAGGGTCTCTGGTTCTCTTCTTGATACCGCCCTGCCTGCTCCATTCATCCTTTTGTCCTGGATCATTGGGCTACCAGGTGGCCCTGTTTAGGTGCTGAGGAATTCCATCTGGACCGGTGAGTGTGTGCTATCCAGGGGCGGATTGTCCCAGAAAAGAGCACAAACCCCCCTCCCCCAGCTCCTTCTGCAGGGCTGTCTTTCTTACACACAACCCCCCACCCCCACAAAGTCTGCATTTTCTGCAAGGTCCTTTGCTCAGGAACAATTTTCTGCTCCTACACTAAGGCTACCCACCCAGAGCGGTGAGCGCCTAGCTATGGGGCAGGCCTCAAGGACCTCCAGAAAGGGAGTACGCGCACCTTCAGCTTGTGCGGCAGGGTGCCCTGTGTTCTATTCGTCCCCACTCTGCCGCCCAAGTTCCCCCTTTTGTATTTGGGTCATTGGACTACCAGGCGTTCATGTTTTGGTGCTGAGGAGTTCCACCTGGACGGGAACAGTTCCTGCTTCTACACTGAAGAGATATACCCAGAGAGT